GAAGTGCATTCACAAAGACACACATACAATAACACACACATAAACATTAAATACACATAAATATACCTAATCCTGACACAGAGGTGAAAGGACCATGTGAGCTACAGCTTTACCCAAGGATTTTATCCTGATTGTATCGCAATTCAACCAACAGGTCCACTGATTTTAACACAAGCAATGCATCTCAGATTGACACAATAACGCTTTCTAGTAGATTACTGAATCTTAAATGAACCCGATATCTCACCCTGTTTAAGATAAAACATTTATTTAAATGGCTTCATAACATAAACATTATTTGATATGATTTCCTCAATAACTGTTACTTGTTGAGGCTGTGGTAGGTAACGAGAAGAGGAAAGTTAGCTGATTGTCTTATTCTCAGGTCCCAAAGCAATGAACTCTTTTTCTTGGCCCATTGGTTGTTTTCATTCAGCCGCTGTGGATTCTTACAATGCCATTAGGAGCACTAGTAGTAGCCAGAGGAACCAGATTTTTTCACAGATTTTTTTCTCATCTACTACTGTCAGGATATAGTGAAAGTTTCAGAAAATATGACAAAATGTTTTCTCATAACTACTGCAGCTTTAAATACACTAATACATAAATAATTCCACTAAAAGGTCCAGCATGTTTTGACCAGCTTTGCACAAAAATCAGGGGAAAATGGCAATAGCTAAAAAATGCAACAACTCCAAAGGTGTCTTAAACGTTGAGACGTCAAACTTGGAATAAAACTTGAGGGAGCGTACACCAAAAAAGCCTTCCTTGTTTTTTGTGGGCATTTCCAGCCAAATCAGTTAGGAGCATGTGTGGGACTTTAATCATAAGGCTCCTCTAGACTGTCCAAATATTACTATACTGAACAGATTGAATTCTAATTATATAATTCTCAGAAAAATGTATTCATCGTTTTACAGCCACTTGTTTTCCAGTGCGTGGAAGTTACCATACCCTGCTGGAAGTTACCATACCCTGCTGCCCAGCCCCTGGGGCCTTTTTAATAATACACAAGTATGGGTTAAGAAAAAGCATGATGGTTCATTCTGCTTCTAAGGCCAATGGCTGTTGACATGTTGATTGACAGTGAGACAGACCAATTGGTTCATGTGCAAACCTCAACAACAGTGGGCAGGACCCCCAGATTCTGCTGGTCACAGTTTTACACCTAAATTATTTTTTTTAAATAATTTGTAAATGTGCATGCTTTTAGGGCTGCAGTTGTGGTGGTATTAATGTTAAACTTGTCACACACGCACATATAAACACACACAAAGGGCATGGCTGACTGGGCTCAGGTTAATATAATCTGTTAAATACGTTTTCCCTGCATAGAGGTCATTCACTGCTAAACTTCCAAAATGACATCTGTGTGTGCGCGTGTGTGTTCTACTTTGGGAGTGTGTGTGCTTTTGTGTGTGTGTGACTAATGGCTTTAGTAATGCTAAGCCACATGGGGCGCGACTGCAGGTTATGAATAGAAAAACTCCAGCACAGCTCTTTATGAGCAAGCTAATCAATTCGGTTCCACCAGGCACGTGAGCCCTATTCTCAATCAACCCGTGTTCATCATCGAATTACCTGATGCATTTGCATAATATGATACAGTGTTTGGAATAATCATTATATGCATTGTTCGATGGTAATACGCTACTCCCTCTTTTCCAGCAGTGAGTAGTGCGACAAATTGCTGCTTAACAGTAACACTACAGACACCTTGACCAAAGTATGTCAACACCTGAACATTCCTCACATATGCAATCATTAAATGTATCACTCCATCATTAATCTGCTGCTCTAACAACCTCCACTCTTGTTTGAAAGCTTTCCACCTGATGTTGGACCTGGCTGCAGGGGTCGGCTCCCATGCAGCCACAAGAGCATTAGTGAGGTCAAACACGGATGTGGGTGACAAGATCTGGCTCGCAATCAGCATTGCAGTTCATCCCAAAGGTGCTGGATGGAGTTGAGGTCAGGGCTCTGTGCAGGGCAGTCAAGTTTTTCCACAGCAAACCTGACACCTTTGCATGGGGGCATTGTCATGTTGAAAGAGGAACAGTCTTCCCAAAACTGTTGCCACAAAGGGCCTAGCCCAAACCATGAAAAAACAGCCCTGAGACCACTTTTGGCCGTATAGCTACTATAAAAAAAGAGAGATGTTGTTCCTGATGTTATGTTTCTGAATATTTTAGGTCACAGAAAAGGAAAATTATCCAGTATTTCATGAGATAAATACAAGGGACGTGTATATCTCCATCTTGATGCATTACCATCAATCTATCCATTAAAGATAAATTTGTAGCAACTACCAATGCTGTATGATATGGGTCACCACTATTAATGAAGGATATGACGCTATGCAATTCAATATGGTACAGATAGTTTGATTTTATTCCTTTGGTTCTTCTTAAGCTGCTTTAGAAACAGTTTAGAGAGGAGGGATTAATCTTCTTATATAATTATTGGTCACATTTCTAAATGCATAGGGCCTATAATAATTATATATAAACAAATTAGATTTTACAGATGTTGATCTTTGCATTGTCCCTAACTTTATCCGATTCACCGATGCTACTTAGTCAGTCTTACTGTTCCTTATAATGTACATTTCCATACCACTAATTCCATCAGTGCAACAGAGTCATGTCATACTCTGCTGCTTAGATCTCTTTTTAATACACAAACTGTTACAATCTCTAATTAATTCAGGTCACTTCTACTTTGCCTTTTTTTATGTTTTGATGTTAAAGTCACCATCAGAGAAACTTTCATCTGGAGGCTTGAAGGCTTTTAGTGTGAAACATCTGTACAGGAAGTGTCGAGTTTGACTGTCAGTATACTGACAACAATTGCAAAATAGCTAGATAGCTAGATAGATAGATAGATAGATAGATAGATAGATAGATAGATAGATATAGTAAGTGTTTTGGAGACAAAGAGGGCGGAAAGAGATGGAGAGGAATGAAGGAAGAAAGCAAGAAACAGATGGGCAGAGCGTGTAATTGTTTACTTGATTGTTTATGACTGCAACACACAAAGTCCAAATTGTTACCTGATCCACATCTAACCCCACTCCCCCTCTTCCTCCGTCTCCCCTTGTTCCTGGAAGGTTCACAGGCGAGTCAGTGACGTGGCCAAGTCGGTTTAAAAAGGTCTGCAGTTGTCCAATTGCAGTTTCCTTTTGGGTCTGGGTGATGTTAGCCAGGTCGAGTTGATAGAAGATCTAGAGACAAGCAGTACCTAATCCATGTTAGATCACAGTCCTGACCAGAATGTGTTTGATTGTTCAGTGAAATATAGGCTGACTGCTTTGTTGCGTCACAGCCATCAATAACAACCAGGAAGGTAACAAAAGTTCCTAGAGATTTCATGTACTCGCACAAGAACACACGCGGCCTTGTTTAGTCTGAGCTTTGACATGTAAAGAAGTGGTGGCCGGTCACAGAAACCTCCCTGGTTGTCCATGTGTGTACCAGCTGTGGAAACCGGTGACCACACGTCTCTGACACACACACACAC